TACAGGACAAAGGCAACCGCCCGATCGAGGTGTCCTGATATTTTGCTCGGACGATCATCTCACATACCCGGAAGATGGCTTTCGGGGTGTGTATTTCGATAACGGCGATAACAGGCAAGCGCAGATTCGTTCCAAAGCTCCCGTCCCTGGTGCTACTGGACCATGCAAGGGCAATCTTCGTGCCTTTACTTACCCTTTCGGGTTCAAAGATGGATCACAGCCTGGTGGCAACGCCGTGGTTCTCTGCTCGAATTGGGATGGAAGCGCAATTACATCAACCCAAGGTGTCAAAGGCGAGATCGGCGATTGGCGAAAATCTGGAGACTTGAGGAAATATTCTCAGGGCATCGAAACAGTGGGACAATATCTGAGCTTTATGATCATACACGAGTTGATGCACGTCGCAAATCTGCAGCAATGTAAGACTTCGCATCCACTTACATCTCGATATAGAGAACTAACAGGTCCAACAGGTCCAGCAGCACTTCCAGACGGCAACATTGGAGAAGTGTATGGATACGAGAAGATCGCTGGTCATGCACCCGGCGCTACAGGTGGCAGTCCTCCTTCGGTAAACAACCGCCAACACAATGCCGATTCCTTTGCGTTCTTAGCGTCTGGTATGCATCACTCTCTCAATTCATCTTCCAAGAGAAAATGCTAATGTTCAATGCAGCCTGGTACCTGAATCTGTATAAGTGGACGAATGGCGCAGCAGTCCTCACAAAGAAAGCTGAACGTCCGCCGAATGAGTTGTAGTTGAGAATGGTGTTGGTTTCGAAAGAAACTTCTAGGGTCTCCAGCGTAGTTCTCAGCAACTTCTCTTTCGTATACTTCACTGGCAGATAGGGTTAAGAGTTGAAAGGGTGTACTAGTCAACGTAAGGACAGAGGTTGTTCAAGCTTTTGTTACAAAAGATACCCAGGCAGTCTTTTTTCCTGTGATAACAATTCCAATACCTGCACCCGAAATGACCTTACACTCCCGAGGTCGCCTCATTCGAGGATATGGCTAAAAGGTCCTAGAGCCCACGTTCACGTCCGGTCGTGTACTTCGCATATTTTTATCTCGATGTAGGGTGCAGGTCTGTTCAGTCTTTGTGCGCTTCTTCGTACTTTAGAAGCAGGGGCACGACCAGCGTAAAATCTAAAATAAGTGCGCACAACTTGCACCCCTGCTCTTCGAACGTCTTTCGGTCACCTGTAACAAACGTCACGTTGCACGCAAGCCAGAGGGGCGATATACATCGGGCTTAGTAAGCTGAGAATAGACCTTGGAGTATAAGACCAGGCAGCCGCCCGCCATTTCCCCGTCCATCGTCTACTAAACTTTACAGAACAACCAATACCACACAATGGCAACCCAATCAAGCGTTGAGGCGAACCCTAAGTCAACTACTATCGTAGACGCAATTGTTACCCCGCCGCTACCAAATTGGAAGGAGCTGCGCGACCTTCCCGCGCCTAGCGGCCCACTGCCCGAAGACGACGAAGATGACGAAGACGATGCGACAAGTAAAGAGGAGGCCTTGAAGCCGAAAGAAGTAAAAGAAGCCAAAGAAAGCGAGGAACGTGACAAAAGCGAGAAGTAAAACGATGTACGTATTATAGATGAGAAGCAGGGCAGTGTACATAACGACAACCTCGCGTAGGCTCTAGGATACGCACTCCTTTGTTGCATCCGGTGGAAAACATGTCTCGAACGTGGAGAATGTTTCCAACGGCTACCCCATATCGCTAGATATCCTATTGCTTCTGCGTTCAATGCCGTTTACAGAACAGAAGCTTACTAGATACAGGGGTATTAGTGTGCAGAATGGTGGTGTGGTGTTGCAGTGGTGGACTGGGTACGATATATACGCCAACACCCACTCACTCTTGGATATCCCACCTACTCACACAGCAAAGACGGAACAAAAGAAATCTATCACCATTACTATCAAGAACTATAGAGTGACTTCTTCATCCTTCTCAGAGCATCTCTCGTGCCTTGTTACGGGGCAAACTCGTATAACTTTATATGTATATAACTGACCACAGCACCCTACTATGTATCACCCCACCACAACTTGCATCGCCTTACCCTAACAAACACCAGCAGAGATGCTCCAAAATACAGCCACAAAACTTCTCTACCTCCGCAACTCAATACTGGGTCACCTTACGCTTCTGAACCCCTGGCCGCGAGGTAGACTGAGCTTAGTGACATACCCTAACATCGATGACACTTGGGACGTGCGCGCTATAGTAGTCACGTCGGACGATGCTCATTATCGTGAGGGTGATCGGGGCGAAGCTGTTCCGCCTCGGAGACACGAGATGGATGAATGGACTGCCGCTTTTGAGCAATATTAGCGCGAACAAAAAGAGCAGGTCGCATCGCGATACTAGAGGCCAGAGCAGTCATTTTGTTTCACTTGTAGCTTATCTTGACAAAGCGATGTATTTGGCCAAAATCCTTCATAGGCAGAATGCGTAAACCTACATGTGACTGATGATCGGGAGCATTGCTGGGATTCGATTGGATCATGTGTGGTACAGGGATGACGAAGCCGTTTTGACTTCATGTGTGAGCGTTAGAGTCACATGTAAATGACGGGAGTCATCTTGACGCGGTGGCTTGGCGTGACATATCGTAAAGTTTGTTGAAACACCGCACAAAGGCTGTAGTATGCCAGAGTCTAGGCTTCGAAGCACTGGAAGCATACAAAGAAGTTATGCTTTCTTTGCAGCCTGCTCGGTACTTGCGTAAGGTTCAGCTCCGTTCTAGGGCTTATGGATTGGCGGTACGGAACGAGTCCCGGCGGTAGTGGAAGGTTCAAGTGCGGCAATCGCACAAGAAGTCAGATCTAGATCCGCGTCAGACAAACCCCTGCTGGGTATTCTTGTCTCGCAGCCCGGAAGAGGTACGTTTGATGTTGCTCTTATCGCCACTGTGGGGAAGATAACGCGGGTAAAAGAGTTTCGAGATTGACCTCAAGATAGCGCATAGTGATGGCGCGTAGGACAAGAGGCTAAGATGGATGATTGTGGTTATTTCTGATACAAGTATTTGGAAGTGAGCGGCACTGTCAATCCCCCTTGCTGTTCGCACTATAAACTGCCAAGTATAGGGTTCGCGCTGCGGCGGCGCAGGTGTGCCGCTAGACGAAGAAGCACTCACAACTTGACATGTGAAAGCCGTGGGTATTTTGTGCCAAATGTGTTGATGGTGGCGCGAATACCAACGGGCGATCGTGGAGAGTATAGAGTTTCGGCTATCTAGGACGATGGCTTATCGTCGGGCCTTCCTCGAGTGTTTGAACACGGCGCGGCAAGGTTAGGTTGCGAAAAACAAGAGATCTGGTAGCAGGGGCTATTGCAAGTGAGTGATGATGCATGGCTGGGCAAGCGCGATAGGCGACTGAGGGGTGGCTCCGTATGCAGGTCCGGTCTTGGTATATTGGAACACTGCAGCGTGTATAGCCGGAGCGACAAAGGAAAGTGCGCATCCCGGGTATGGTCACGCTACGTGAATAGAGTGCGCCTTTGACTCAGACTGCGGTCGCTGATTTCTGGATTACTCAAAAAATGAATGACATGATGTGTTATCGGAGCGGGTGCCCAAGATCAGAAGGTCGCGATGTCAAGATCTCAGGCGGTGGAGGGTTGTGGAGGGGTGTTCCCTGTGTACGGAAGATTTCTGGTGACGCATCTGCGGGCTCGGAGATATGAGCACTAAGCGAGAATTGCAGTACAACGTGTCCATGAGGCAGTTGCGATGGCGGGTCTGGCAGCGACGTGTTAATGCCAGCGTGGGCAGGAATAAGGTCGGGATGAGTTGGCGCTCGCAGATTCAGGGGGTGACCAGTGGAGAAATGCATTGCTGGACTTGCTTTTGCCCAACGGCACCAGAGGGTGGTGGACGAAGAGGCAAGATATGCAGGAAAGCGGAGTTGTGGATTGCCCGCAGGAGGCGCGACCCGTGGTCTTACGCCGTGCAGCAGCCCCCGGGACTTGTACCTTTTTAATTGACGAGCCGAGCGTCCGTCTGCACAATTGCTGTTGGATAGGCATTGATAATTACTCCAGCCGCGTGCGGGCCTATCAACGCGCGTTGGAGCGACTTTGTGTCAGCTCGCTATGGGTATACCGAACGTTTTAAGAGGCAATGGGAACAGGAACAGGCCGGGGGTCACCCTATTGACGGAACCGCGTTAGTGAACAAGTGAACAGTGCTTGAGGTTCCTGATTTGCCGTGTGGCTGCAGGATGCCAATGGCTGGTGGTACACGGCAGCGTTTCATGGGCGCGACCAGGAGGCAGGCGCACACAGGGCTGGTCCGGGCGCGGGGACCAAGACGTGTTGACTCGCAGGCGCGACCGTGTTGGATGCTTCGGTCGTGGGCGTGCAGGGGTGCCACGACAAAGTTTGGGATGTCCTGCACCGGCATCTCAAAAGTTGCTAGCTGCCCTTCTCCTGCATTGGGGCACGCAGCCAGCAACGCTTCTCTGCCCCGAACGCGTCGTGCGACCGCGACGGCGTCTGCTGCTCTCCCTCCTGCCCTCCTGTCCTCAGATCATTGCCTGGGGACTGAGGCCTGCTCCCCCATCTGGTGGAGATCCGCACCTAGTGCTCGCGCGTGGCTCCTCTTGGCCTCGTCCTGCAACACGACCACCATCGTCGTTTGGAACCCCTGAAGCCCCGCAACCCTCTCGTAAACTGAGTTTAGAGCCACCGCCGCCTGCGCGTGTCATGCGAAAGCGACTGCGAGACGCCTAACCTCACCCCTAGCATCGTTCTGCCGCAAGCCGCTGGCTTCCCAGGCTGAGGAACGGCGCGCCCAAGCAGCATCGCGCCATTGACCACCTCCGTCACCTGTCCGTGCCGTCTGCAGTCACGGCACGCTGCTCAATTGCTCCTGCATAGCCCTCAGCGACCTGTCTGGGCTTTCCGGAGAATGCTCCTGCGCCCCAGTGTGGGAAGGTACTCGACGCTCACCCTCACACAGCGCCCATCACCATGGCCGATTACTCACAGCATGAGGGCCGTCCCTCCACGCCCACCGGCTCCTCGAGGACCTTCCGACCGAACGGGTCTATGCGAGCCCTCAACACCAACCCGCCCAAGCAGGAGACCTTCTTCGACGATGCCACCCCCGTAGACCGCTACAACGACTCCTCCAAGCACGATCCGCTCCGGGACTCGCACGACCTTTCCTTCGCCGAGGGGGGTAACGTGAGGGACTCTGTCGTCGACAACATGCTGCTCTCGCTCGACCAATTCTCCACGGGCAACCTGTTCGGCGGCAGCTCAGGGCCCCAGTACAACAACTACGCCGAAGACGACTTCTTCCTCAGGGACAACTCGTACCGACCGCCCGGCGCCCGCCATCGCGGCCACACCTACGCCTCGTCACGCTCCTCCGACTATGACCTCAATCCCGACGAGCACTCTCGATACACAGTACACCACTCGCGCGCACGGCGAAGTAACAGCAGCAATAACATCGGCTCGCCAATTCACAGGAAGGGAAGCACGCGGGACATGTACACGGGCCGCCAAGGCACCGGCCAGTATGGCCAGCTCCCACAGGCGGGCCATTTGAGAGGCGGCAACAAGAAGGGCAGCATGGGCAGCGGCTCCTCGAGCATGGACTTTGGCCAGTCTGGCATTTTGGGCAACCAGCGTCTTGGTTTTGGGAAGCGCTCGGCGAGTTTCGACCATAGCAATGCAAGCGACCGGGGTAGAGTCTCACCTCTCAGAGTTGAATCTGTCTTGGACCGTGGCAGGGTTGCCTATCAAAACTATCCCGATGAATACGATGCCGCTCCCGAGCCCACCATCCCGGCTGGCCCTCGAAGGGTCCAGGAACCACCGCAATCTCCCCTCGCTCTACCTCCCCAACCAGCCTTCGCCGCGCCACAAGGACCGAGGCCTGGCCGGAGAGGTAGTGTGCGTTCCAACACAAGCTACAGAACGCTGCGCAAAAACAAGAGCCAGCCAGGACCCAGCATGAGAGCCCAGGCCCAGGAGTTTGTCAACGCCAGCACCTTGCGGGAGTTGCCTCCTGTGCCGTCATGGCATGACCCATCCGCTCCCTCACCCTCTGTGGCCGCGCGAAGTCCCCTGTTCCCTGTGCAAACCCCAGCAGCGCCCAAGCCTGGCTTCTTCCGACGTGTCTTTGGCGGAGGCTCTTCCAAAGCTTCATCACCACTCCCAACCCCCACAGGCCTACCGACGTTGTCGCAAGAAGCTTCAACACCCGTCTCCACCAAGCCACAGACGGCCGATGTCAACTCCATGTACTCTGCCGCACGACCCCGCACTACCCCGAACAACAGCAGTCACATTGCTACGCAAATAAAATCGTTGCCAAAAGCCCCTCAAACCGCCAATTCTTCGCATGGAGATGGCCAGGCATTGCAGCCCCCCACGTTGGGCAAGAAGCCATCATCATTCTTCCGCCGTCGGAAGAAGTCGATATCCGAAAACACAAAACCTCCAGTTGCCGCTCTCGAGATCCCTCAACCAAACAGACCAGTCCTTCCGCCACAGCCCAGCCCCGGAGTTAGTAGTCTGCGCCAAGTGATGAACCCTTATTTGAACGATGCAGGGCGCGCCGTTGAGAGACCCGTCGACGCGCGAGATGAGCAGTCGGGCGACGCTTCCACGAATGGATTCTCACCAAACTATAAACCACACAAGGATGCAACAGTCCGCACGATCAAGCCGACTTCGCGTGGGGATGACCAGACACCGCCTGCTTCACGAGGAGGGAAACTGAAGGTTTCTGAGACGAACAACACAGGCAGTCCGAAGTTGAAGTTGAAATTGAAGCACGCAAAATCTGCTGCCCAAAATCAGCAAGAAGACACTTTCCTTGCGGACAGTAGCGGCAATGAGGACCGCAGTGGTCGTGCAACACCAACGGGAGAATACAGTGGTACCGAAGAAGCACGGAGGCCAAGCACAGGACCCACTCCCTCATCACTCAGACAATCTGATGGAAAAAGCAACCGCAAGCCATCTGGCGATCACCGGGCTGAGCTTCTGTCACCTCTCAACAACTCAACCTCTAGGAGCGGGTCAGTGTCACAATCTGCTTCCGAGGTCGAAGACGAAGGTTGGGTCATCACCGAATCAACCGACAAGGTACATCTTACCAACGGCAAGAGCCCGGCGGCGAAGCGTGTGTGGCTCGACACCACTCTGCCAGACACGCTTGGCGACACTTCTGACGATCTCAAGCTACCCTTGGAAGGCGCGCGATCGTCCCAGCAGTCACTCGACAAGGTTTCGCCAGACGCCAACACTCCAACCTCACCTAATGACGTTTTCCACTCTGCTACGAGCCTGCCTATCGTGCAAGTTGAAAGCCGCGAATCTGACACCATGCCTGCCATTGTCGAGGACCGATCGATGCACAGCGAGCCTACTGATGCTGAGCGCGAACGCGCATTCCAGATCTACAGCGGTGATGATTCTTCCAGTTTGAAGGCTCAAGCAGCCGCCCTGCTGGGCGATGTCACTTTGTCCAGCACACGCATGCGGAAGGCCTTCATGGACCTCTTTGACTGGACAGGCATGAATATCCTCGCCGCCATGCGTGACCTTTGTGGCAAGATCATTCTCAAGGCCGAGACGCAGCAGGTTGATCGCATTCTCATGAGTCTTTCAGAGCGTTGGTGTGAATGTAACAGCAGCCATGGCTTCAAGGCAGTCGGTAAGTGCTCACTTCGCTGAGACAATATAGTAAGCTAACCCACTGCAGATGTTGTGCATACGATTTGCTATTCCATCCTGCTCCTCAACACCGATCTCCACTTGGCCGACATTGAGTCGAGAATGACACGTAGTCAGTTCGTCCGCAATACACTCCCGACCGTCACCCGCGTATGTCAAGATTCGGTCAAGGCTGCAGGAGAGGAGACACTGAAGCCGCAGCACGCCCACTTCCGAAGACCCTCTCTCCCGTGGAACGATAAATCAGAACCCAACTCCCCAGGCGCCGAAGCCACCACATTTCCAGCGGACGAGGAAGAGCCTGTGGAGGCTAGGAAAACCCGCAGTCGTCTCTCGATTCGCCCTCCTGCTAGGAGTGGCTCAGAGGGTCTGCTCTCCTTTGACTCTGCAGTGTCAGAGTCAAACACCCTCGTCAACTCACCATACAATGGCCCCATGCGGGGATGGGAGTTCCAGATCGAAACTGTGCTCAAAGAGTTCTACGATTCTATCCGCAAGCAACGCTTGCCTCTCCACGGATCTTCTGAGCCTGTTGTCCATCACCAGCCTTCATCTAACAATCTCTCCGTTAGCAACATGCTACGACGCACTCCCAGTGTGCTAAGCAAAGCACCTTCGGACAATACCAGCTACCGTGGTCGGTCACAGAACGACTTCCGAAACGTGGGCAGTCGTTGGGCCTCTAAGAACCGCTCAAAGCAAAGATTGTACCCTTCGTCTACTGTAGCATCAAGTCGTACTAGCCTGGACGACGGATCAGTGTGGAGCCCTGCTGGATCCAGCTCTTGGAGTCGCTACTCTTACGGCAAGACGGGCACATCAATGTCGGTCGACTCTCTTGGCTCGCACTTTGCGACTGGCGACTATCAACAGGCCATCGGCTTTGCCAATGCTCTCAGTCAAGCTATCATTCGCGAGGAAGGTATGACTATTGCCAGCGACGAAGAGTTCTCCCGCGTCGCCCCCCTGTTGGAAGACGAGACGCTCGAGCTTGTTGGAGCACCCTGGGCCAAGGAAGGTATTCTCAAGCACAAACGACACCTTGATTCGGTGGATAGGAAAGCAAAGGATCGAGCCTGGAATGAGTGCTTCGCTGTTGTTGAGAAGGGCTGCATGCGTCTGTTCTCTTTCAGCATGAACTCCAAGTCGGTTCGGCAGAAGAGCAAACTGCGGCCGTCTGTGGGCGGTGTTGTAGGGGGCGGCAACTGGATGGACAATGCGGAAGCCCTGGACAGTTTCCCACTTCGACAGACAATCGCAAGTGCTCTACCTCCCCCAGGATACTCGAAGACAAGGCCTCACGTTTTCGCGCTGTCGCTGCCTACAGGTGCTGTCCATCTCTTCCAGGTCGGTACACCAGACATTTGCCGAGAGTTCGTGTGCACCGTCAACTACTGGTCCGCTCGTCTCTCAAAAGAGCCTTTAATGGGTGGAGTCAGCAGCATGGAGTATGGTTGGGGCGAGAACGTCATCAACCCAGCTCTGATTCGACAAGACAGCGCACCATCTGTACAAGGCCACATGCCCCGTCCCAGTGTCACAAGCTCCCTTCGTAGTTCGATGGACCATGCCACCGGCACGCCCAAGGCCAGACTTCCCGGTGACAAGGTGACCCTATCTGACTGGAGCCCACCGGCGTCTAGCATGATGGCTAGTACCCTGATGGAAGTGGACCAGCTCAGGGCCCTTACCGACTATGTTAAGAACATTGAGAACGAGCTCTCGCACCACAATGAACTGAGAGCGCCGTTACTCATTGCCGTAAGACTTACCTCCAGACTACACATGAACGTCACTAATATATTCTTAGTTCTCCCCTCGCCACCCTAATGCACAGAAGGCCATGGCCAACTGGGAGCGCAAGTCGCAATACCTCCTTCGTGAGATTGTCAAGTTCCGCACCTATATCGACACTCTGGCAACTGCGCAAGCGCAGAAGCAAAAGATCTACGCCGAGCGCGAAGCTCGTGAACAACAAGAGCTCGAGGAGGCAGAGAAGGAAGCAGAAGCCAGTGCGAAGAACACTGAAGATGATGGTGCGATCCAAGCTTCCGAGCCTGCTCCATCCAAGACCATCCCGAACCCTGCTCTACCAGCAGCTTTCCTTTTACATCCATGATCGCCAATTTTTCAGTTTGGCGTACACTGACGATTGATTTCTTTGTTACGAATAGTTACCCCCTTAAAGCGCACGATACGGCGTTTGCGTCTGCTTCATTCGTCGAAACCGAGCTTAAGACAGCGTCCGCACTCGGTGGCTTGACGCATTGTTATACCTATTGTAATCTGTACGAAGTTCTCATGTTTGGCGTCTCCAGCAATTTCCTCGGTTTCTTTCTTTCTCGTCCCTTCTTCTTTCGAACGAACACGTACGACCACCCCAAGAGTCTTTTGAATCGGACTTCACTCTGTACGATTATATTCGCATCTAGTCATTATCAAGCTCGGGAAGATTGATGATCTATATGGTTACTTTGGGACGGAGCTCGCTCTTGATTATTTCATCCTTAGACTGGGCGGAAGAGCACGATGAAGAAGCAATTGTTCGAATATTATACCCCATGTTCTCGAATAGCATACTTTGAACGCTATCTTCTCATGACACTCTTGACATGACCGCGCGCATCTATTCTTGGTGCATCGCCGTTGCGTGCATGATAGCTGTGAGAAGACGCACACTTCGTTCATCGCACAGCTTGCATGAGCATGTCGTTATATCACCTTCAGCTACGCTGCACACCGCAGCCTTGAACTACTCATAAGGCTACGATAGCTCGATTTACCACAGCCTACCAGTCAATGTAACCCCATAGCCACCACCACGACCTCTATGATGCCATTCAAAGAAGCCCATTGCGCCCACTGCTCACCACCACTGCAGCTAGAGACTCCAGCGTGCTGTGAAATTCGAGCAGCGTTGCGCCTAACGCATACACCGGCCCTCCTCCCCTTCCAATCATCGTGGATCGTGGACCAATTACCATCGGGCCTCACTGTCGGCGTGCAGTGTCCTGCGCAAGCCACAGGAAGGGCTAGACTCTCTTGGCGCCAGCCTCTACAAGCAGCGCCGCTCTGATGTAAGGACCGAATTGGACAGAAGGATGCCAGAAAGGTTTCTTGCAGATGCGTACAGTGCATCAAGGTGGGATCGCGTAGAGGGGTATGGGTCGAATTGGGAAGCGCTGAAGACAGGGTGTTGGGTATGTAGCCAAGTGATCTCGTACACCCTTCGCGTTGCACGCCCCATTCGGTAGGGTGCATGGTGCCGTCTTTTTGATCTGGCCGGGGACGATACAGGGCTGAAAGAAAGACTTGGATGAATAAGGAATGGGAAAGGGCCGTTTGATCTCGGAGCGGGTTGGGGTTTTGGCCTCGATGGATGGGGGTCTACGTTTGATACGAAAGCTTTGTGTAAACACATTTGCGAACGTTAAGCGGAACGGAAAAAAGCAAAAGCAACAGCACGTAAACCGCCGAAAGCATCGCAAACTCTCTCTCCAAAGCACACGCTGTAGAACAGCGTTAGATCAGTCCAGCTCTCAGGAAACAGACCTGCACCTAGTTGGACCCCGGTCCTGGGGATCGTCGGTGTTGCCGTCTCGCGTACGAGACCGGACGAGCTAACTAGCCTTGTACCTCGCCGGCATCGTGGCATCCCACACGCCCCCATGTCACAAATTGCGGAAAGCACACGGGAAGAAGACGGACAGATTGAGCGTGCCGGGCGGTTAGACGAATGAGGGGGCAGAAGCGACGGGAGACTCGGCACCGGGGTCTCGTCTTGCATAGGAGGAGACACGTAGGTAGTTGTGGAAATGAGGTGGACGAAATGTCTTGGAGGAGGCATGTAGCGTGTATTACCCAATTGATGTAGCAAACGTAGGATGGACCATGACGGACAAGCGTCTGCGTTGTAGTCGCCGTTGTACAGTGTTTCTAGTGCATGAGTAGCTCGACTGCGGACGCAATGCCGAAGGACGATGCATGTACACAAGTAGGCTGCTACAGTAGGTTTGCATAGCGGCATGCAAGTCGCATCGTAGACCACGAGGAAACATGGGCACAAACCATGCGCCATGCGCCCTCGACCCGCCATCCAGACTCTCTTGACAGGCGTTTCCGTTTTTCTTTTATCTCCGCAACGGCCCATTCCCATCCGATAGCCCCCTGAATTGACTCGATTTCCTATTTCTCCAGGGGATCGTCACTCGTCTTGCCTATTCTCGTGGTTTGCTCTTCTAGATTCAGACGTCTGGACTGTGAGGTTAGAAAGTTGGCCCACGAGTTTCGGAGCTTAGCATCCATAGCTTTGTCAGAGCTCAGCCCTAGCCATCCTTGCCAGACCCCGCGCTACTACCACATCTCTCGACGTTACCGACGCACCGCCAGCCGCACTCTATAACGGGACCGACTACAGCTTTCTTCGTGCGCCCTACGACATTTTATTCCTTCACCTCGACACTTGCGCCACTATTCCTATCTGAAGCATTGAAGAGCGCGCTCGCAGACGGCTATCTGGGCATCATCATCCACGGCTATCCGGCATCTCTGCCAGTACGCGCGGACACTTGAGGAAACCTCGACAGCAATCGCACATCGCAACTCGACATGTCCTACTATCCTGGCCAGCAATACCACGGTGGCGGTGGCTACGGCGCGCCGCCGCCTCAGAACAACTATGGCGCTCCACCTCCCCAAGGATACCCTCCTCCACAGCAACAATACGGCGCTCCGTGAGTAGACAATGACGTGCAAAACTTGACCGGTGCTGACGAATACCAGACCTCCACAACAATACGGATACCAGAGCCCGCAACCACCCTTCAACAACAACTACGGCCAACCCACGCCGCCGCCTCAACAGTATGGATACAATCAGGTATGCACATGGCATGCTAAGAAGCAACCGCTCGCGGAGTTGATGGCTGACATGCTTAGGGCCCGCCACCACCACAACAGTACGGCAACTATGGACCGCCACCTCCGCAACAACCACAACAGCCTCCTCGTCCAGGCATGATGCCCACAGCTGGCAGCAACCAATGGACACATGGAAACCACAACGCTCCCCCACCCCCACCATCCGGCGCACAGAACTTCGGTCACGGCGCACCCAACGGCTACTCGTTCCAATACTCAGCGTGTAACGGTCGGCGGAAAGCGCTGCTCATTGGAATCAACTACTTCGGCCAACGAGGTCAGCTTCGTGGTTGCATCAACGACGTGAAGAACATGAGCACCTACTTGAACGAGTTCTTTGGCTATAAGAGGGAGGACATGGTCACTTTGACCGACGACCAGCAGAACCCCATGAGCCAGCCGACCAAGGCGAATATTCTACGGGCGATGCACTGGCTGGTCAAGGACGCAAGACCAAACGACTCGCTGTTCTTCCACTACTCAGGTGCGTCTTCCCTCATACACAAGCATACTGTCAGACTACTAACTTGAACCAGGGCACGGTGGCCAGACCAAAGACCTCGACGGAGACGAAGATGATGGCTACGACGAAGTAGTCTACCCAGTTGACTTCCGCACCGCCGGCCACATTGTCGACGATGAGATGCACCGTATCATGGTCGCACCCCTCCAGCCCGGTGTGCGATTAACCGCCATTTTCGATTCCTGCCACTCCGGCTCCGCCCTCGATCTGCCTTATATCTATTCCACCCAGGGTGTGCTCAAGGAGCCCAACCTGGCGAAGGAGGCTGGCCAGGGTCTACTGGGTATCGTGTCGAGTTACGCACGCGGCGATATCGGCAGCATGATTGGTGGTGCCACAAGTCTGTTTAAGAAGGCGATCAATGGCGACGAAGTGTACAAGAAGAACCTGCGAACAAAGACTAGCCCTGCGGATGTGATCATGTGGAGTGGATCCAAGGACACACAGACCTCGTAAGTTTTTTACCGATTGGTTCTGGACTTGACATGGACAATACTGATATGGGTGAACAACAGGGCCGACGCAAGTATCGGTGGTGAAGCTACCGGAGCCATGTCGTGGGCTTTCATCTCTTCGCTGCGCAAGAACCCGAATCAGAGCTATGTACAACTGCTCAACAGTATTCGTGATGAGCTGGAGGGCAAATATCAACAGAAGCCTCAGCTGAGCTGCAGCCATCCGTTGAGTAAGCCTTTTCTCTACCTTGCTGTCAGCATGAACGACAAGCTAACTGGAGTAGATACGGACCTGTTGTACGTTATGTAGACGTATAATTGTGGAACGAAGAAGAATTGTTGTAAGATGATAAAGGCTAGGATCAGGTATTTGCATACCAGGGCCTTTGGACTGAACGAATGGATGATACCATGACACAACATCCTTGGATAAGGAAAGCGTGGTTGCTACCAAAACGGATGACTGACGATTGTGTATACAAGTTCCTCTGTATATACTTAGGCACGCGACACGACGGTAGTGTGTCAACCAGCACTTGCTGTAGCCATTGGAGAGTCCGACTGGAGTGAAAGAAGTCGTTATTCATTATCAAGGGGTATCGAACTTTGTTGTCTATCGCGTCCGTCGATGTACATCCCTGCTGTAGCACCACTGCTATCCACTATCATCATTAATCATGATGCATCCTTTCCATCCGTAGCTTTCTGTAATATAATCACGAAGAGCCAAAGCAATTCACCACCCACACCTAGACATCCGCAATCTCCTCATCAACCCAATCCCTCCAACTCCTCCACTCGCCCCAGCTCAACGCTACCTTCTTACCCTGATACCTCGTGACCTTCAACGCAACCTTATTCCAATCCGCCTTCTTGCCACCCCACCCCGCCTTCCGCATCAAACTAACCAGCGCCTCTTCCTTCGTCCACCCCTGTTCGCTCGCCACGTCAGGCAGATACGTACTCCCATATCGCCTGCCCTTTTCCTGAAAGCTAATCCGCAAGCCATGTGTGCCAATCTCCCAATCCATAACATCGTCCACGGGCTCAAAGTCTGTGAGGAGCGTGACGGCGCAGGAGAGCGTAGGTAGTTCGCGTGTGCTGATGGGCGAGAAGCGCGTGTCGTCGAAGGCGGCTGTGAGCGCGTAGGACGAGAGTCCCGTGGTGAGGGGCTGGGCTGAAAAGGTTCCGATGCAGCCTCGAAGTCGCTTCTCGCCGGAG